TAGATTCCAACACTTCTTTCCAAAGGTTAAGCTTTGCATTTACCCCTTCCTGAGTTTCATCTATCAACACTATATCGTCTGCGAAAAGCATACACCAAGGAATATCATCTTGAATATGTCCTGTTAACTCATCCATTACCAACGCAAAAAGGTAAGGACTTAAGGATGAGCCTTGATGTAATCCTACAGTTATGGGAAAGCTTTCGGTTTGTCCTTCATGAGTTCTTACGGCAGTCTTTGCTCCTTCATACATATCCTTTATAGCTTGGATATATGCTACTCGTACTCCTTTCTTCTCTAAAATCCTCCAAAGAATGTCTCTTGGGACCCTATCTATCATACGCTTTTTCCAAATCTATAAAGACCATGTGTAAATCCTTTTTCCCATCTCTATATCTTTCCATCAATCTTCGTAAGAGATAGATTGCCTCCATGGTTGAGCGCCCTGGCATGAACCCGAATTGGTTGTCCGAAACCCGTGTCTCTTGCCTCAATCTATGCTCAATGACTCTCTCTCCAGAGCTTCATTGTATGACTCATTAGCTTAATACCCCTATAGTTCATGCAATTTTGTACGTCGCCCTTATTCTTGTAGATAGGCACCAAAGTGCTCGTTCGCCACTCATTTGGCATCTTCTTCGTTTTCAAAATCCTATTGAAAAGGTCAGTGAGCCATGTTATACATGTCTCTCCCAAAAGTTTCCACACTTCGATTGGTATATCGTCTGGGCCTATTGCTTTTTTATGCTTCATCTTCTTCAAAGCTACAACCACTTCTTCATTCCGGATTCGACGATAAAAAGAGTAGTTTCTACACTCTTCTGAGTTACTCAACTCCCCTAAAGAAGCACTCATATCATGTCCTTCATTGAAGAGATTATGAAAATAACCTCTCCATCTGTCTTTAACCGCGTTCTCTGTAGCAAGAACCTTTCCATCCTCATCCTTGATGCACCTCACTTGGTTTAGGTCCCTTGTCTTCTTTTCCCTTGCTCTAGATAGTTTATAGATATTCAACTCTCCTTCTTTGGTATCTAGTCGTTTATACATATCGTCGTAAGCCGCTAACTTAGCTTCTCTGACAGCTTTCTTCGCCTCTTGCTTCGCTTTTCTATACCTTTCACCATTTTCATCGGTCCTCTCCTTGTATAAGGCTTTACAACATTCCTTCTTAGCCTCCACCTTTGTTTGTACCTCCTCATTCCACCACCAAGATTCCTTTTGGTGTGGGGCAAAGCCCTTGGACTCTCCTAATAAAAAACTCAAAATAAATTACAAGCCATTTAGAAATGCTTCTTTAAAAAACACTTATGCTCATAAGTACTTCTAATAAAGTGCTTCTATTTTTATTTTAAAATCACTTCCAAACACATATAATATATACAGAAAGAAATCCAAAGTAATATGCAAAAAGATCAAAGAAAGAAAAGAACTTTATGGATATTGTTGTATGTATATTATCTTCTTCAACTAGCAGGAAATGTCACCAGTTACCTAGGAAACGGTCTGGTCATGGAATCAACATTTGTGGAATCTGTATACATGGTGAGACCTTCAGGTGAACCATGATTATATGGCCCAAACGCAGGGCGAAGTTCTTCTGTTGATGTTGGAGTTCTTTCTCGATGCCTAGACAATTCCATTTCCAAGCAATTTTTGAGCTCAGACAATACAACATCCATTGTGACTCTGTGTTGGGAGGTAGAGGTTGTGCACGCCATTGCTATCTCTAACGCTTTCCAGACCGAATGCTCATCGAACTCCCCTAGCATCCTTTGATCTACAATACATTTTAGTTCCCTTTTTTCGAGCTCAGAACTCACCCACGTTGCTAAGTGGATTACTTCATCACTTTTTATCACTGCAGGTTGGCCGGTGATTAGCTCTAATAGAACTACCCCAAAACTATACACATCACTCTTTTCATTCAGCCTCTGGCAATTGTGGTATCTGTAAACCAAAACTAATATTCATTAATCACAACGTCGTGGTTTATATGCAGCTTATTGTTGGTTTCGTGCCCCTTCAGTTTTATTTTTGATTAAGAGTTCGTTCCATTTTTTAACATCGTATTTTCGCATGATAATAATGCTAATAGAATGAGAAAACCTAAACATACTCTGGATCAAGATATCCGACTGTTCCCATGACTGTGCTGACCACTTTAGTCTCAATGTCACTAGAAAAAACCATGGAAAGACCAAAATCCGCTATTTTAGCTTCCAAGTTTTCGCTTAAGAGAATGTTGGCTGTCTTCACATCTCTGTGGACAATAGGCGGCTTGCATCCGTGATGCAAGTACTCGAGACCTGCGAACCAAATTTTGCAATCCGTTAGTAGCACTATAATTTGTGTAAACATGATCACATCTATTTTACTGAAATAACAGGAAGCACAAACCTTGTGCAGCATCAATTGCTATACGAAGTCTCATTTCCCATGTCATCCGTGAACTTCTTTCTGCATCTGCAACCAATAGTGTGTGTTGTGTTCGCTAGATTTAAGATGGACTAACATAAACTGGCGAAATTTCTTTATCTTGATAACAAGATTATACCTGAGAGATAGTTTTTTAGGTTGCCATTAGCCATGTACTCGTATATAAGCGCCAAGTTGTTTGCATCATCGCAGTATCCAATAAACGAGGCCAAGTTTCTATGATAGATTCTCATCAGGAGCTCAGCCTGCACTCAAGAACAAACTCATCACAACCTGCATCGAATGAGACTAGGCGTGGCATTTACCTTGCATTCCAAGAAATTCTAACTGGCAAACCTCTGTTTGGAACTCCCTAGGTCCTTGAGTTGATGATGCAGAAAGCATTTTTACCGCAACTTGGGTTCCGTCTTTCATGCAACCATGGTACACAGTCCCAAATCCTCCTTTCCCGATCGAGGTTTGTAAGTTTTTGGTGATATCTAATACCTCCTCATGAGTAAACTGCCACTTCGTTGATGCTATAGCTGTTTTGTTAAAGGGTTCTGCTTCTGTGCCTATAAGTACACAAAAAATTATGTGTTCGCACTGTATAAATATTCATTCGATCTAGACAACCTGTTTCGAGAGTTCTTTGTTCAAAGTAATACTGTTACAATTTGGGGATCTAATGAGATCTGTAAAGGTACCTGATTCTCTTTTTCTTCTCAATTTCCATACTAGCATCAGCACTATAACGACTACTAGTGCTGATACAAACGACGCAACTATTGGAGCAACAATTTTCTTCTTCTTTTTGCATGAACCTGAGCCACAAAGATTTTCGGTATCCACACTGAAATGAACACAAAAATTCTTCTTATTTCTGTTATTTGTCAAACCAAAGGCATGTTTCTAAACCAGATAAACAAGAAGCGATTTTTACCTCAGTACAAGTAATCCAGCTTCTGATCTCTTGCGAAGAGCGTTTGGAACCGAACCAGACAATTGATTGCCTTTCAAATTCCTGCAGATCAATTCTTAATAATATGGAATTCTGGTATCAAATGAGCCTATGATCATGTAGAGATTGCACTTACAAGAGAGTGAGCGACTTTAGTTCTTCCAAGAACTGAGGCATTGGCCCGGCTAGGTTATTGTTCGACAAATCTCTGGGACGAAAAGCATTATAGTTAGTAGGTTCTGCAAGATAGTAAAGTGGATAAATTCGGCAAGATGAGTCTTCATGGAAGCAAAAGTGAAGAACAATTACAAGGACTCCAGTGACGAGAGATTGGCAATGGAAGCAGCTATTATCCCACTCAAACTGCTTGAACTCAAGTTTCTAATCACAATAAAAGGAAAATCGGCTTAGAATTAGATTGAAAAGACAAAGAAATTGTAAGAAGACTTGTTCCTTAGAAGGACTCACAGGGAAATAATCCGAGGAACCAAAATGCTGTAGTTGCATTCTAGTCCTTCCCAAGAGAAATTCCTAGGTCCACAAGGATCACCAGCCCAGATTTTTTTTATTTGATATGTAGTTTTGACGTTCATTATGGCATCAGCTGCAGTCATTAACAAAACCAGATCAAACAGGACTGATAAAGCTAAGAATTGGTCAAATTTAAGAGAGAACGACCAGCAGTCACCAACATTGTTTCCAACTTAATCATCCGCACAGTTCGCTACTATATGTTGTATTTTATATTGTCAGGATTCCGAGGTGGGATTTTCATATTTTTCAACAGGCATTTCTTTTCCAGAGGAAATAAGCATATATCAATACTTGTAAGAATGTTCTTGTTGATTTAACAAAGGAAGACATACCATCTTCACCATAAGTAGGTGATTGAACTAGCTGCATAACTTGGAAAACTTCAACAGCATTCAGAATCGGCGGAAGGGAAGAGTCCTCTGTCTTGTGTAAAGAAATTTCGTGATCCTTTCCCACCAGAGCTCTTGAATTAGATATCACGTCTGCCTGTAAGTAACGGGGAGTGAATCGTCCAACCAATGGAGATCCATTCCATGATATATTGAATTTTCTTGACTGATTCTTCTCAAGATTCTCCACTTCAGCAAAGTACATAAAAACATAAAACTGAGCATTCATGTCAGTTGTTTTCCAGTACAAATTTAAAGGTTCACTTGGATTCTGAGGTGCAGCTGCAGTCTGGATTACTTCCAATGGTGCTTCATATCCGTTCTCATAGGTAGTAATCAACGAAGAAGTACTGACTGGATCCCAAGAAGGTGAAATGTGACGTGACCAAATGCGATCATAAACATCATCTTCATATCGACCTGTTCCATTGCCTTGTCCGATGTCCAGTCTTTCAACGAGTACTAGTGATGCAGAAGTGCCAAATTCAGTACCATAAGTTGAGCTATTAAGCGGTCTAAGTTCCAACGCCGAAATGAAAGGAGTTCCCAACCCTTTATTTATTAGACAAATGTCCACGGTATTTGATTCTGCAAAACCTATAATCTCCTTAGTAACAATATCTGAAGCATTTTCAAACCTCACCGTCGACCAAAAGTTGACGCCGAGGTAGAGATCAAATTCCGGTAACTTGTTTTCTCCATCGTAGTTTCCATACAAGAAGGTAGCTCTAATCAAATTCAAAATGTCATTTCCTTTGTCGGGTTTCAACACGTAGCAATTTTTGTTTCCTTGGGAAAACTCCTGAGGTCTAAGAGAGGGGCGGGGGGGAGGTCGGTATTATTTGGATTCATAAATTCAGAAGAGATGTTCTTGTTTATCCCTGTGTCTATGTAATCTACATCCGGTGAGTATGTTATGCTCGCATCCATGACTTTGTAGTGGTTCAATGGATAACCACAATCAATGCTTATGAAGTTTACTCCTAAACAAATAAATGAAATAAGCCTTAGAACTCAAGCAACAAATCGAAAGAAACAGATTCTTTTTCTAAAAGTATATTTTATCTATACTAAAACCCGGTGGATACGTACTCTTCATTAACAGTGCCTATCCGGTTTTGTCCCTCATTTTATTCATGGTTTTTGGGTTTTAGTGGGATTGTGCAGTGAAGTGGCCATTTTGCCCTTGGTCGTTTGGAGGAAATAGTGATTTTTGAGGGTTTTGTGTGCAGCCTTTAAAGTTTAATATTACTTGCTTTCAATCTGTTTTGAAAAATATTATTTTGTAAGTCATGAGGCATGGCGTCGATGAAATTGTTTGGTGCGGTACTGTTTCTTTCTTTATATTAATTGAGCTTATAATGCATTTTAAGGCCTATTATAGATTTGTTTTTCATATCAAATCTTAAATTATCGGTGTTAATAAAAAAGTGATGCTACACCTATTCTGTTATCCTATTTCCCACACTCATTATAATTTTGCTCACTATAAAAAGTTAAAAAATTGAAACACTATTTCTCCACGCACTGTTATACCTAATAGCCTCAACTATACATTTAAATTCTTTTTAATTTTTAGTAGAATAAATATTAGCTAATAAAGCTAGCGACTTTGTTTTGCAAACCCAACGAAAGATATATAAGAGCTTCCTCCCCGCGACCTTGTTTTGCAAACCCAATGATGATGTTGGTCCATGAGACAGTGCTTCTTCTTGGCATCTGCTTGAATAACTTATAGGCATCATCAATTAAACTGCAACTGGCATACATGTGTATGAGTACACCCCAACTCACAACTCCTTTCACGCATACCATCAAACTCCCCGCGTGACACCAAAACCCGACCCTCCACTCGTTGCATACAAATTAACCAAACTAGTCTGAACAAACACATTGGACCCAGACACACTTCCCAAAACCTCCCGTGCACATGTTACCTTCTCTCACCAACCTCAACCTTGCACTAATACATACGAATAGATAAACCGATCAGCCTCCGCCTAAGAACCCACCAGCCGTTTATACAATTTAACAGATTTTCGCAGTGTGGCCTATGATCATCTGGTTCCACACATTAATACTAGGTTTTCGACATTTTCAAAAACTATGAGGGCATGATCGAGACACCCACAAGCAACGTAGAATGATAAAATCCGAACAAGAATGTAGCTTTTTTTGTGTGAGTCCATGAATTGTTATTTTTGGTGTGAATTAGGGGTGTACTTGCAGATCAATGGAAGCAAGTACTTTTTGGTTTTAATCCATATATGTCATTTTATGAGAGGGTAAAAAGGGCATCAAAAATTTTATTAAGGTGTGGGGGGTAGATAAGACAATGAGGTGGAATTATCAGCTCTTTAATAAAATTGATTTGGTTTTGTAGATCATAATTTTTAAGCGACAAAATTAACCTGCAAATTCAGTTTAGGTATGAATGCTTGGTACATTATCGTATTACTTTATTATTAATAATACTAATTTGGTTTTGTAGATTAAGATTTTTAAGCGAGAATCAAGTTCAAAATTCAATTGAGGTATGAACTTTTTGCTTATTTGGGCTATTGAAATCATCCTTGCCTTTACTGCATTTTATTTTTTTAATTTCAGTAGCTTGAATGGAAGACGCAATTCTAACACCTATCAATCAGTTACAACAGTATAAAAAAGCAGTAAAAATTAAAGTCCGCCTGTGTAGAATGTGGAGAGCGAGAATTCCAGGAACGACTGATAAATATACAGGTCTGTATACTGATTGATGAAAAGGTGAGCAATTCATATGTAGAACTAACCATTGTAAGATTCAATCATGCTTTTTTTATTTTTATTTTTTTTAAAGTGATGTGTTTCAGATATTGTACTCTCCAACTAAGCTGTTGCAAAGCTTTTGTATAAAGCTTTTAGCTGTTGAAAGTGTTTTATCCATCCTAGCAATTAGTCTACTAACTTATGCCTAATTTGTAATTATTGTAGGAGAAACTCCAATGATGAATGGGAACAACGAAAAAAGTAGTGTTATCCTAGCCAAAAACCTTATTCTCACTACATTGGGTACGATTAGTTAAATTTTCAATTCATTGTAGTTGGATTGAAACAATATTCCCTAATATTTTTTTTATATAAATAGTCCAATTTTTCATAATCTTTCTTATTCGCTTGCAGTGTGGAAAGGTTGTTCATTATCTCATGACCCAAATCATTGCCCAAATTTCTGTGATATACATTTCAATTCACTTTCTGTGAGTAATGTCTCAATCATTGTCCATATTTCACACTAAATTGTTAATAAGAACTCATTATGCTAGGCTTTATACACGTGCAAAAGTGTTGTATGCATAATATCTCATTAGCATGGCTAGGATCCACTTTTAGTTTGTTTGCACCACATTTTTCAATTAGCTGAACCGGCAACTCAAGTTAACTGCTCAAATTGGGATCGTTTGGGCTGATTTGGAGTTTTTTTCATTGGTGAAAAAAAAGATGGTTACCAGTAAATTGATTGTATTTTAATTTTTTTTAATTTTTATTCAATTCAGCTACCCATGCTCAGTTTTTCGGTTTGATTTGAAGGAATTTCTTGCGCAGAAGAGCTAGGGTTTCTTAGTGAGTTCTTCGGGTTGTGCATCTGGGTAATTTTCTTTTGTTAAAATTTGGGGCTTTTGTTATTGTGATTTCGGGTATCGTGATTTTGGGGATTTTGTTTGTAGGTTCAGATTCCCCATCATGGTGTATAGTTTTGTTTTGTTTTTGGCTTTAGGAAATCGTGGTTTTTTGGATTTGGGGCTTTTGATTGCAGCCTTCCAGAGCTTGGCTTTTGTTTGGTTTTTGGTTATATTGGACTTGAATTTGCTTTTTTGTTGTCCGATTAAGTGGTTTGTCATTTTAAGTTAAGTGGTTTAGTTCAACCTCTGCTGGAGTAACCAAAACCGGGTATACAAAGAAGACTCGAGACTTGATCAAGTAGGTGCTTAAACGTTAATTTGTGGAAGAAGAGGTTGCAGTTGCCCTGGAAGCAAATCAATAAAAGAGGGCAAGACTTGAGAAAGAAATTTGTGACACAGAGAGCAACCTCTCCAGGCTAGAATCCAAACTACAGTCCCACAGGCCACATCCAATGCATCAAACAGATCAGCTTTTGGGTTTATCATCAAATAATCAACCTATTCATCAGTAAATTAACGTTTAAGTTTGTTTTTAATTTAGTTCATAAATAAAATCAACCAACTTGTCATGCCCTTTTGATAGGAAATTATAAAGCAATGTTGACCGCATTTGGTGTATTTTTTTTTTCTTCTTACTTTTGAGATGTATTATTCGTTTATATCATAGATTAGATGATGAAGAATTAAAGAAATTAAATGCCGCTTTGGATGAAAAGTTCATGTTGATGACAAGTACTGTTGCTGATATTAACTGTCCCTCATCTGCCTTAATGCTGCAGGTATATATATATTATGTAACAAGTTTTCTATCAGTTTGTTAATATGGATAACCAATGCAGGTTTTTTAACACTAAACATGTTTGTATTTCTTTGAAAAAAAATTAGGAAAAACAAAACAGGTTGAACCAATCTACATAGTGAATTGAAAGAAAATAATTATTTAAATCCGTAGACCTTCTGAAGTCACTCTTAATGTTTTTGAATTGAGCTCAACCCCACGAGCACGTAGACGAAGGCTGTACGTAAATCGGGACAGGAAAGAAAACGTTACGAACATTAGAAATTTCTTAAAAAAAAAAAGAAAAAAAAAAGAGGGAAGCTGCGGGTTGGCAGCAGAGGAGAGAAGAGGAAGAGAGAACATGAGGAAAAAAGGGGGAGAGGGCCGAATGGGGAGAGTAGAGAGGAAGGAGGGCTGACCAATGGGGGAGGAGAAAAGGGAGAAACATGAAGGAAAGGAGGGAAGGCAAAGAGACTGTGAGGCACCCAAACCGGATCCCAAAAGAGACCCGTTTTTCCCCCTTGCGACCGGGTTGCCCGACAAAGAAATTTAGGCTGTCTTCCGTCATTATTCCGGCGAATTTCACCAAAATATCACATAGAAACTCCCCATTGGCCTTCCCTCTCCATTCTACACCCCAGATTGCTGAGGTTTAGGTCCCGAATTGCGAAGAACGGACCCGTCGGTCTGGGGGTGCCACGGCGGAAATTCGCCGATCATGAAAGTTATGTCTACCACCACCTCCACCACCAAAACACTTCTCTAGAGGCCAGGAACAAAGCCCAAGCAGTGGTGGAGTCGTTGGAGCGCGTATGGAGGTTGATTCAAAACACACCTAAAACTAGGGTTCCGGCCGTTCGAGGGAAAATTCAGGGGTTTCCCGGCCAAATTGGACTTCGGCCCAAGTATGAAAGTTGTTCCCCCTGGCTTGTTTTACATTTCTGTGAAATTTGGTCATTTTTGGAAATAATTAGATTTTTCGGCGAGTCGGGGCGGCCGGCCGCCATGTGCGGCTGGGCGTGGCGGCGGTGCTTGGGCTAAGATCCCACCTGCCTTTCCTAGACTAATTTGGATACCCTGATTCCATACGTGAAGTTCGATTGATGAAATCTCGTCGTAAGACTATAGTTTTGATAGAGACCGCCACTTGGACATTAAATGAATCGACAATCTGACCGTTGGATCGTCACCAAACTTTAATACGTTATAGTACGTAATATTAGAAGACCATAGGAACGTACGGATCAGGAATCAATGTACGGATCTTTCCGAATTAGATTTCTAAGTTTGTAAAACCAAATGTCGACAACCATTTGATTTTGTGATTGGCAAATATCCGACCGTTGGATCTCAATGAAATTTTAGTATGTTGTTCTAGAAGCATAATGTGGACGTTAAGAAGTTACGGATGAAAAATCTGATAGGCGGATCTTCTGGTTTAGATTTCTAGGGCTGTGAACCTTATCCTCAATCTTGATCGATGGTTGACTTTTTAGTCAACTAAACCAAGTTTCTAGTGTGCCGTTTATCTTAGAGTGTTGTTGAGATTTCATAAAGCTTAGTGGGTTCATTGTGATGACGGGTGTCTTGATTTATGTATGAGTGATTATAATATAGGTGATTTATATTGAATTGTTATTTTATTTTATAGCCATCGTTCTATGCTCTTAATTGTGATTTGACTGTGGATTGGAAACATTTAGGAAATGTGATTTGACATGCATGTCTGCAATGTGGTTTGTGTTGTATGATTGGCATGATGTGATGAAATGTGAGGGCTAGTAGTGGACCGTTAACCCATTGTCTTGGGGTTTGTTGCTTCAACACTTGTTTCACATCCTGTTACCTTATTTCGCTTTTTGTTACGTTCAGCCCTTCTAAATTGAGTACTTGGTTCATGTTTTGTTTCTTCGAGCTGTTGATGTGTTCCTTAGCCTTTCACTCGGTTCCGTTGAGTGATCCAGAGCTGAGTATCCACTAGGGTTCTGTTGAGTGATCCGGTTCCCTGCTCCGTCTGGATTCCGTTGAGTGATGGTCTGAAATCCCTTTTATTTCACGATTCTGTTGAGTGATGGTTCGAAATCATATATGCTCAGATTTTGTTGAGTGATGGTCCGGAATCCCTTCTATTCCGCGATTCCGTTGAGTTATGGTTCGAAATCATATCCGCTCGGATTCTGTTAAGTGATGGTCCGGAATCATATCCGCTCGGATTTCATTGAGTGATGGTCCGAAATCCATTATACTCCATGATTCTGTTGAGTGGTCCGAAATCGTATCCTAGTTTGTATTTCGTTGAATGGTTCGAAATCGCATCATTTGACTTGTTGGCTCCTTGGATTTGATTTCAGCTTCAGAAATGTAGGCTACGGTCGAACAATGTCGCTCTAGCCTTGCATTTTGGTCTGTGATATGTGTTATTGATTGATGTGATTGTTGTCATTCTGATTAGACTTGATAACCAATGTGGCTAGAGAATAACATTGTGCTTCGTTGACTGTTACTTGAGATGTTGCATACTATTAATTGCAGTATTATGTGAAACATAGTGATTTATATAATGGATAAATTGGAAAGCTTATGTGTGAGAAAGGCATACCTGCATGCATAATAAGGTGATAATTGTTGTTTGGCGTAAGCTTGATGTGTAGTGTGGTACTCTATGATTTCTTATGGAAGTATTTTATGAAAAGATTAGAGTTTGACAAATGACGAACTACAAATAGCTTGATCCCTATTGAGGGTATGTAGGTAGTCTAACAAGGATGTTAGATGCAATCATAAAGTATACAAAAGACTACTATGCGAATCGATTCTCGAGTTGTGATTTGCCATATCCCAGAGGCGGGATATATTTGAGATATGAGTATTTGGTTGTCACGTCTCAATCCTGGACGTATGTTGGGATCGGGACGTGACAAATGTCGTGTATTTAATTGAGTTGTAATATATAAATTCTTGCTAGATTGAAGGGTTTTTAACTTATTCGTTTGCAATGTGGGAAGATTGTTGATTATCTCATTGACCCTGGCCTTTGTTGCCTGCACAAGTGGTGGACATCCCTAATCACTTTATTTAAGTAATGTCAATCTTTGCACACATTTCAGACTAAGTTGTTAATGGGATTGTTCCTTAACTAGACAATTGTTTCCCAAAATTTGTATTTATGTCGTTGCCATGCATTGAGCTATCTCATGAATCTTCTTATGGTCTCAGTAATTCTTTTGTGTTGTCATGTGATCCATCAAACAGATGCACCTACATTCTTTTCCAAATTTATGGAACGTAGAAAAAAGGTCCAAGTTTTCCTTTTTCTTTGTTAACAAAGATAATTGTTGCTTAATGTTTTCCATGGCTATCCTACTTTTAGTGTAGGTCGTGGGAAAATTCCCAAATTACTGCTTAGGAGTATTAGAATAGGCCAGTGTTTTTTCTTTCATAAATATCTATTCGATTGGAAAATAGGCCAGTGTTTTACTCATTGTTCATACACTAACCCGAGTGTTTAGAGTCATACTTTCTATGACTTTTTTGTGAAGTGAACAAATCAAGCTCCACTCTCTACCTGGTTAGTCTTCAATCTACCAATTACTTTAATGTCTTGTCCTCTAATTTGTATTTGTTCGGGTTTTCAAAATTAATGTCTGATTTCTACAGATGAAGTGTTATACATGTTAAGTAGAATTAAGAAGTGAATTAGGTCCTCTTGAGAATGCATGGGATAATTCTATGGGTGTTAACTTGGTTTTTAGATTGATTGTTTAGTTATAACATAAAATCTCAATATTTACATTTACAATATTAGAATGCACTGATCTAAATAAGAGATTATTAAATCATTGAAAAAAATCCTCTCTAACTAACTGGTATAAAACAAGATTCTTTTCCACCAATAAAAAAATTAGGTAATCATATTTTATTCTTAATTTTTTTTATAGTATGAACCTGTTGAAGTAAATTAATTGCATGTATTTTAATATTTCATATTTTTCCTTGCCTAGGTTGCTTTCTTGACAATCAAGAGCAATGGAGGGAAACTTTAGGTGCTTCCGTAAATGACTGATTTTTTTTTCTATGTAGAGACAAAAGTTCTACAATTGTTTGTGTGTGGACTGTATCAGTTAAATATTTTGTTTGTTAAAATTTTCTAACATTTTTAATGTAAGTAATATTAATCATCTATGACATAATTTTTCTTATAATTTCTAATCCCGCAACAACACACGGGGTACCAATTTCTAGTTTAGATCTAAACAATAAGTTACAAGCAGATACATAAAGAAAATGATCAGACAAGACAACATATCATTTGGCGTCAAAGAAAAAACGCTAACCTCTCTGGTCCTGTGCACGAACTGAACTTGCACAGAGCATCAAAAGGAGGAAGAACCCAGTTGACATTTTCATCTCTCTATCTGTCTATCTCTCTCTCGCTCTTGGAGCCAAATAATCTGATACTGAAAATATATGAAACTGTGGAATATTAAAACTAATGCTGCAAAACCTGCTACAAATCCTAAGAGAACTACAATCTGGTTTTTTAGGTCAATGCATTTTTCCCTGGTCAATGAATTTTGGATATATTTGATTTCACATATGGAACACAAGTGTGCTTGTCATAGCCTCAGCCAATCAATTAGTCAGACTAATTTTTTTTTTAATTTTCAACCTACGAAGATTTAAACAATCGCGAAAATTGGCTGAAATAATAAAAATACAAATTTCAGTGGATGAAAATGTCACTTTTCGAATTTTACTGGTACATATGCAATATTTAATTGATAACGTCCTTAATATTTGATTGATATGTTGTTACTTACTTATTTATTTATTTTATCATTTTAACAATTGAGATATGTAAAATTCTCATTTCAGGAAAATTCCCTTCATTTTATAACTTTAATTGTGACTAGAATAGATATGCTGCCACATGTGCTCCCGAGGTCGAGTTTTGGTCCTGCAATATAGATTAATTCAGGATTGTATTTTTCACATGTTTATTTTTATTTTTCACACATATTTTTTAAATTTCATCCGTCAAATCGCATAAATTAAAAAAGATCTATGGTAAAAATTAACAAAAATTAACCAGAAGTAAAAAATGGTTATGAATAGCACAATCTTAATTTAAACCAGTGTGTGACTGACATAAATAGACAAACAAAAGAAAACTTAAGATGTAGCAATTAGTGATTAATTTAATAGATAAATAGCACATGAAAGCCAAAATCTTCATGCCGACAAAACGCAACTACAAATCCAAAGTCTAAAAGGCCGAAAAGGTGGAGCCTAGAAGGCTGTACTTTATAATTTTCCACAGCTTTGCTTATTATTATTACTTTAGTCTAAAGTAGGAGGGAAATTGCACTATTCACGTGAACAGTGATTTGGGGTGGATTTTGAGTTATTTACAAAAATGCCACCGCCTCTTCAGTTTCATATTGAAAATTTCGATTTATTTACGAAATTGCTAACCCTTCGGCTGTGCACGTGTCGACCATCGTAGAAAGGGTGGGGGATGGAAGCAAACCCGATTTTGTTGCTCCAGAGATCTCTTCAACGATAAACCCATTTTGCTCCGGAGCTCTTCAATGACAAAGTCGATTCGGCGCCTCACCGTCGCACACCTCGCCTTCCCCTCGCCGTCGCACTCCTTACCCGAATTCGAATCAATGGTAACGTGCCAATTTTATATATTTTTTGTCGATTTTTATCATTATTCTGGAAATTAGGGTTTGATCCAAATTTGGTGTGGCTGTGCTTCAGCCAAAACTCACGGATTAGGCTGAGAGAGAGATATATAGGACGATTTGTGGATGGATTTCAGGGAGAGAGGCGTGGGATGGCAGGGAGGGGAAATGAGATGGAGGAGTGAGGCTGCCAAAAAGGGGGTTAGGGTTGATTTTTTCTCCTCAAATCAATTGTTGGTGTCGGTGATTGAACGACCATTGGTTAGATTTGAACTTTCATTTCCTTTGTTTCTGAACTGGAATGGGGTCGATGGGACCATGCTTTGTTGCACGTTCAAATGAGTGATTTCAGAGATTGGTAATCCCATAGCGTGTTTTCCCCTCATCTCTGTCACACTTAACCTTTCTCTAACCCTTTCTCTTTCACTTTCTTTCAGACTCTCCCTTTCTCTCAACTCTTCATCTCTCTCAACTTTAGTCCTAACCCTAATTTGTTCTTTCATTCCTCAATTTTCTCCATCCGAGCAATGAAAAATCTGACTGGGTTTTCAGATTATTAATGCAGAGGGATTCACGGACAGAGAAGGGAGAGAGAGAGAGAGAGAGGGAGAGAACGATTACACAGAGACAAGGAGAGAGACAGATAGAAAGATCGCAGAAAGAGGAGGATGACGAAAATTTAGGAGGAACCCATGTCTGCAGAGAGCGAGTAAGTTTTGAACCAAAGCTTATTTCCTTTAATTTATGGCTATGCGACAAAAAATTTCTGAAGCGAAAGAATCAAGGAACCTTGCATTTAGAATTTAATCCTAATTTTTTTCTCTTTGCAGGACAAAAAACTACTAGGGAAGGAAGAGACTGTTAAGAAAGTAAAACCCAGACCAGAGAAGACAAGCAATGGTGGAGGAACCAAGGCTGTAGATCTTTGATAAAAGGTATAAATCCTTTTCGTTTCTGGTAGTTTGCCCTCGCCTAAAAATGTGAAATTTAATATGGTGTTGATGAGTGTGTTTGAAGGCGGAAGAGCTGATCCTGTAATTTGACTGCTTTGTCACACTCGAAATCATTTATCAATTTATTTAAGTAATGTTTATATCTGCACCGTCTTCTAACTTTTTTATAAATGTTTAACCCTGATCTATTGTTTGATGATCGTTTTGTAGCACTGCCAATATCATCGCTCTTTCCATTCCTTTATTTTTTGGTGAGTGCTCACTTATTAATACTGTTGTTGCTTTTAGTTTTTAAATTTTTTGAAAAATTCAACCTTCAAACCCTGTTGAAGTCGGTTTGGTATCTCAAGATTCCAAATTATTGTTTGTAGATTAGGGATTTGCATATTGGTAAAAGAGAGGAAGACATTGGCTACTGTGTTGGATATGTAGGTGAGTTGATGATTGTCACTACTTACCTTTCGTGTTCTTCACCATTTTGTTCCTTAACAAGTGTCTTTACAAACTTTCGTACTTTGAAGTGGCTTCATAGATATTTGGCAGAGTCCTGACATCAATTTTTTAGGGAATGGTGGCTGATATTGACTCAGATGAAGCCCCTATTTATATATCCTAATCATTTTTATGTTCTATCTTTTCTGACTTGGATGATTTTGATCGAATGAATGAGTTATAAACTGAAAGTTACATTTGTTCCATCAATATGTTGATCAAATGGATGAGTTAGAAGCTGAAAATTACATTAGTTTCTTGCTGCTTTTTATACTCAATAGATTTTGTGTATATGTAGTGCTTTATTTTCAAGGTTATTTCTCTCAACACCATGTGAATGTACAAATGGTTCTTTCCCAATTCAACCAATTTAAAAATTGGGATTTTAACCGATGTTCGTCCATGGTTCCTTGCTTTCCAGATATTGAAACATGCATAAATTCACTAGAAATTATTCATGTCTATGTCCCAAAGGATACAAACATGAAGGCATGGATGAAAAGAGTTGTATCAAAGACAACAAACGGTCAAAGGCCATTCTCCTCATTATTTCATTAGGTATGCATGTTTTTTTCACATGTTAATATATTGCATATACGAGCCTAAATTTATTTTATTGGAGCCACTTTTGGATCCAAAATTCTCATAAAGTATGTCATTGATGAAAGTTATATTCTGGTGTCCTTTAGTGATCTTCATGTTTTTCGTACGAAATGAGATTGTTAGCTTCTGTAAGCAGTATTAACTATCAGGGATTTGTTTTCATATTGCATGAAATTTCCACTTTTTTCATCTTTGAATAGTCTCAAGCATGGTAAATATAATAGCACTAGAAAGTGAGGAAATCCACTTTCTTTGGTGAGGTTGGATTCTCTACTATGACTACCATTTTTATCTCTAAACAAAATTTTAATGGTATGTATGATATAAAAGGGTAAATTTAACTATTTTGGTTTGTTTGTTCTCACGCTTTGGTGCCTTGAGTTTTAATTTTTATAGATGTGTCTGAGTTGTTTTCCAGTTACAATTTGGGTGCCATTGGAAACTTCTAGGGGACCAAAATTATTTTCAGGTCAAAATACAGGAACCAAATCGTAACTAGACTAGGAGATTACATTACCAAAGTAGGAAAATTCGGTCTTGATTTATAGTTTGGCAACATAATATGTATGTAGGATGTTGTTTTGGAACTGCTTGCTAAGTGTTAAATACATCCTATAACATGACTGACTAACAAGTATGGTCGTTCAGATATACATGCAATTGAGATCACTGACTAAATCAGATTTCTTTTATATTGAAGCAAATCTTGCCTATTATAGGTGTTTATGAAAATTCCCTAGAGAGTTAGAAACAAGGATATGATGCAAATCTGAATGTAGGCTGTTTTGGTATATGTGTGTACATACAGGGGTGTTATATTGATATGACATGCTGCCTTATTTATCTATTTTTCGATTGTTAGATCAAAGAAGGAAGTTCAATTTATCAAGGATCAAGGTTTGGACTACTAGACAGAACGCCGCCTTCGGTTTGAGGTATGGAAGTTTCGAGTTTGCAATCTGGCCGATTGTGTGTTTAAATTTCTGGTTCCCAAATAAGAAATATGCTTTATTTGATCCCGAATAAGAAATGACATGGGTATGTGGCTTTCATCGTTATTAAGTTGTATCCTTTTCTACTTGGGTTACAAAAAAGCATTAAAATGAATCAATCAATTTTTTTATTCTAAGGAAATATGTATTCAACATTGTTTTTTCTGAACAATTTCAATTAATATAACTATGACCATTTGTCTACTATTTTCTATCTTCTGGTCTTCTTCCTTTTATTTTTATTGAGATCTGGTCAATATTAAATTGAAATTGTTATTTTAGATTTTACTCCTTGTGTGGTTTTCGGAACCCAACATGTGAAGGGTTAATTCTATTTTTAGGTTGAAGGAAAATACGGTGTATAATTTGGGAAGTGCTTTCAATTCTACTCTCATCTCTAATATGAATATAGATTACAACTCTGACCCTGAGTAGTCCAAAAGCTAAAATCACACCCTGTTAATCTGAATTAATTGTAGACGTACTCTCTTTCCCTCTTAATTGCTTCTTAGATCATCTCCAACCCTTGGGCTAAAAGCCAAATTTTTTAGCCCGAAAAATTTAGCTTTTAGCCGAGAAACAACTTTTCTGCTCCAACCATTCTGGCCTAAAATTTTAGCCCGAGATTATTAAAAAATGAACTTAGGCTAATTTTTTTCTTAAATTAACTTTAAAAAAAAATTATGTAGACTATCGTAAATTAATTTTATGAACATTTTAATCTAAAAATATTTAAATTCCGATAAATATTAAAAAATCACTAAATTTTTCCACAAAGCAAGCCTTCATTTTTTTTTAAATTATTTTAGCCGTTGGATTTAAATTTGGGCCGTTAGATTTTTTATTTTTTTTTACCATTAGATTTGATTATATTCGATCTCAGCTGTTGGATTCAATGTATTTTAAAATAACATTTTTAAAAAGATTAAATTTGAATTTAGATCGTTGGATCAACCAACGGTCCAATAATGCCAACCGTCCAATGAACAAAAGAGCCGTTGGGCTCATAATTGCTTCCGACAGCAGCCCTGACAATGGGTCCCACCCTGTCGGGCGCTAAGGGCTAACGCCCGCGTGGGGCGAGTGACCGGGCTGAGAGTGGGCTGGGAAAGAGGGAGTCCACACGTTTCTGGGCTATTTCTTGGGGGGAATTTGGCCCTCAATTAGCATTTGGCTTTTAGCCCAAAGATTTGGCTTGGGTTGGATTGGGTTTGGGGGGGGGGGGGGGGGAATAGGGGGGGGTGAAATTTGGCATTTAGCCCAAGGTTGGAGATGGTCTTAGACCATCTCCAACCCTTGGGCTAAAAGCCAAATTTTTTAGCCTGGAAAATTTAGCTTTTAGCCCAGAAACATCTTTTCTGCTCCAACCCTTCTACCCTAAAATTTTAGCCCGGAATTATTAAAAAATGAAATTAGCCTAAATTTTTTTCTTAAATCAATTTTTTTTTAAAATAAATATGTAGATTATTGTAAATTAATTTTATGAACATTTTAATCTAAAAAAATTTAAATTCCGATAAACATTTCACATTTAGCCCGGGGAGAAAGCTGGGGGGTATTTGGCCCAGAAATAACATTTGGCATTTAGCCTAAAATTTTAGCATGGGTTGGAGAGTGTTTGAGGGGGTAATTTGACTTTTAGCCCAGGGTTGAAGATGGTCTTAGTGCTTCTTTGTTTTGATTTTCATCATCCAATTTGTTAAATTTATTGTTAATTTCAGGGTACTATCAATTTCTTTGTCCCCGTGTTTATTAATTGTGGTTTTCTCTATTCATTTGGGATGTCTCAGTGGATTGAAGATCTCAGTCAAAGTTCTTTCCCTATCATTTCAAGCTAAATTAGCATGTAGAAGAAGCGATCAAGATAGTAGAAAAGAGATGGATTGATACAATTAAAAGGGAAACACAAAGGATCGGAGAATCTGTACAAGAAAAATATCACGCAAAATCGGAAGACGATCATCACATTGCCACATTGAACTTTAAACTTCATGCAGACAGTACCAACAATGAAGAGAATCACGAGGACCATAAATTATTTGCTCAAAAGTATATGTAAATGAAGAACAATAATTCTAACCTCTTTCTCAGCCTCAAAAAATTCTCCTTCTCCCTTCTTCTTTGCAACTTCCTTAGCAAAATATTTGTCATCAAACTTATCGATAGAAGTGGCAATCACGTAAGACTGATTTACACGTCTCAAAGGAACACCATTAATTTTAAAGGGGCCTGCAATGGCATCATACCAGCACTCAAGTTAGAACTTAGAACGGCACTTTTCAAGAAGCAGGAAACCCATTACCCCATTACCCCCGCCCACCACGGGATTGAAAAAAAATGAGCAAATACACAAATCAGTAGATGTAAACAAAATAAGAACATATATTTTAATAAGAAACAAAATAAGAACCTATGAAAGTTGAAGGCATAAAAGCTAATTCATATATTTTAACGAACAATCACGATTAAATAGATTACTAGATGATACTTCACGAGTGCAACTCCTTCATGTCATCGTTTCATACAGTTTCGGAAGAAAGAAAAATAGCAACACACCACTTCGAGTACTCACTCACTAACCCTATTTGAATATATCCACCCAAAGAAACCCCAGCCTGCAAAATATCCCATTCAACCGGAGGGGAGCAATCCCCCAAGCACAATTCATACGAAACGGTGATGTATTTGCAAATAACTTGAAACATAAGAAACCTCCTTTTTTGCACCAAATTCTAATGGTGTCGCCACAAAACAACGTTATCGTCATTGGGTGGAATTCATGACCAAGGAACCTCCCAGTATCATAAAACTTAACATTCATTCGAAATTCCGGAACAATACTCATTAGTAACAAGAAGTAGCCCAGATGAAAGCTGCTTAAGAAAAACAACTCTCTTTCCCTTAAACCTTCCAGCCAATACAATCAGCACCGTCCCTGGTGTAATACTAGCCCTACATCCAACCAACCCAATCAAAAAACAAAACAAAAAAATTATCAAACACCAATTTTCTAATTTCTAATTTTGACAACAATTATAAATAAAGATTATTAAAAACCGAATGATTCGAATTTGAAAAATAATTAAAATCTGAGAGAAAGTAGAGAAAAAGAGAACCTGAGCTTCGTGGGCCTGGGCTTGCGTTTGTTGACGAGGGGTTTCTTGACGTCGTCGGCGGGGTAGAACTTGGGCGGCTTCTCAGGCTGGGTCTCGGCTGCCGGCTTCGCATCGTGGCGAGGGAAGACGCCGCCATTTTTGGCTTTGAGAGCCCAAAGACCACGCTTGTGGTACATTTTGGACCTCGAGAACTTACCCACCCCGCGGACGAGATTTGGGTTCCGGGTCTTTCTGGGGTTCCTTGCTTTTGCTGCCATTGCTGAGCTCACGCAGTCTCTCTGAGGCTTCCTATTTGCGATAGAGAAACGACAGAGGAAGTAGTGCGGTGGGGGGTTGAAGTAAAACCTCAGCTTCCGGTTTAATTTTCTTTTGTTTTTGGTTTTGGGCTTTGTATCTATCTGGCCCAAACTTTAGTTTCAATACTGAAATGTTCTGTATTTATTGAAAAACATTTGAATTTTTAGAATAATCAGTTGTAAAAGCAAAACGATCGAGGTCTCGTTTGTCATGTTTTACATAGCACCGGATAAAACCAATAATACAGAACCAATTGTTGAGCACTTATGTATCAAGCAGGCATTTGACTAATTATTCTATCCTGGTCTCACTTATTTTATACGTTTCACACATGCTAACTTGTACACTCCAAAAGATAGGTATAGTGGTTAACAAAATGTAGTTTAAAGTCACTTAGTACTCATCTAGTGATATTCCTTTTCACTTGTAATTACGATGTTTTATATTCAAATCTCGTTGATGACAAATTCAATATCAATTTATTCTCCCACACTACTTTAGTTTAAAGCCTGGAACCATGCACGATAACCTCCAAGAAAAGTAGATAAGATACAACATCTAGTAACATAATTTCAATTGATTTACTCCATTGAACAAAAAAAATGAAGTGAAAACTTGTATACCAAATAAAAAACTCAAAATGAATTACAAGCCATTTATAAATGCTTCTTTAAAACACTTATGCTCAGAATTACTTCTAATAAAGTGTTTCTATTTTTTATTTTAAAAACACTTCCAAACAAATATAACATATACAGAAAGAAATCCAAAGTAATATGCAAAAAGATCAAAGAAAGAAAAGAACTTTATGGATATTGTTGTATGTATATTATCTTCTTCAACTAGCCGGAAATGTTTCCAGTTACCTAGGAAACGGTCCGGTCATGGAATCAACATTTGTGGAATCTGTACACATGGAGAGAACTTCAGGTGAACTATGATTATATGGCCCAAACGCAGCGCGAAGCTCTTCTGTTGATGTTGGAGTTCTTTCTCGATGCCTAGACAACTCCATTTCCAAGCAATTTTTGAGCTCAGACAATACAACATCCATTGTGACTCTGTGTTGAGAGGTAGAGGTTGTGCACGCCATTGCTATCTCTAACGCTTTCCAGACCGAATGCTCATCGAACTCTTCTTGCATCCTTTGATCCACAACACTTTTTAGTTCCCTTTTTTCGAGCTCAGAACTCACCCACGTTACTATGTGGATTACTTCATCACTTTTTATCACTGCAGGTTGGCCGGTGATTAGCTCTAATAGAACTACCCCAAAACTATACACATCACTCTTTTCATTCAGCCTTTGGCAATTGTAGTATCTGTAAACAAAAACCAATATTCATTAATCACAACGTCGTGGTTTATATGCATATTGTCGGTTTAGTGCCCCTTCAGTTTGATTTTTGATTAAGAGTTTGTTCCGTTTTTTAACATCGTATTTTCGCATGATAATAATGCTAATAGAATGAGAAAACCTAAACATACTCTGGATCAAGATATCCGGCTGTTCCCATGACTGTGCTGACCACTTGAGTCTCAATGTCACTAGCAAAAACCTTGGAAAGACCGAAATCTGCTATTTTAGCTTCCAAGTTTTCGCTTAAGAGAATGTTGGCTGTCTTCACATCTCTGTGGACAATAGGCGGCTTGCATCCGTGATGCAAGTACTCAAGACCTGCGAACCAAATTTTGCATTCCGTTAGTAGAACTATAATTTGTGTAAACATGATCACATCTATTTTACTAAAATAACAGGAAGCACGAACCTTGTGCAGCATCGATTGCTATATGAAGTCTCGTTTCCCATGTCATCTGTGAACTCCTTTCTGCATCTGCAACCAATAATGTGTATTTTGTTCGCTAGATTTAAGATGGACCAACATAAACTGGCGAAATTTCTCTATCTTGATAACAAGATTATACCTGAGAGAGAGTTTTTTAGGTTGCCATTAGCCATGTACTCGTATATAAGTGCCAAGTTGTTCGCATCATCACAGTATCCAATAAACGAGGCCAAGTTTCTATGATGGATTCTCATCAGGAGCTCAGCCTGCAGTCAAGAACAAACTCATCACAACCTGCATCGAACGAGACTAGGCTTGGCATTTACCTTGCATTCCAAGAAATTCTAAATGACAAACCTCTGTTTGGAACTCCCTAGGTCCTTGAGTTGATGATGCAGAAAGCATTTTTACCGCAACTTGGGTTCCGTCTTTCATGCAACCATGGTACACAGTCCCAAATCCTCCTTTCCCGATCGAGGTTTGTAAGTTTTTGGTGATATCTAAAACCTCCTCATGAGTAAACTGGCACTTCTTTGATGCTATAGCTGTTTTGTTGAAGGGTTCTAATTCTGTACCTTTAAGTACACAAAAAATTATGTGTACGCATTGTATAAATTTTCATTCGATCTAGACAACCTGTTTCGAGAGTTCTTCTTTGTTCAAAGTAATACTGTTACAATTTGGGGAGCTACTGAGATCTGTAAAGGTACCTGATTCTCTTTTTCTTCTCAATTTCCATACTAGCATCAGCACTATAACGACTGCTAGTGCTGCTACTAACGACGCAACTATTGGAGCAACAATTTTCTTCTTCTTTTTGCATGAACCCGAGCCACAAAGATTTTTGGTATCCACACTGAAATGAACACAAAAATTCTTCTTTTTTCTGTTATTTTTCAAACCAAAGGCATGTTTCTAAACCAGATACACAAGAAGCGATTTTTACCTCAGTACAAGTAATCCAGCTTCCGATCTCTCGCGAAGAGCGTTTGGAACCGAACCAGACAATTGATTGCCCTTCAAATTCCTGCAGATCAATGCTTAATAATATGGAATTCTGGTATCAAATGAGTCTATGATCATGTAGAGATTGCACTTACAAGAGAGTGAGCGACTTTAGTTCTTCCAAGAACTGAGGCACTGGCCCGGTTAGGTTATTGTTCGACAAATCTCTGGGAAGAAAAGCATTATAGTTAGTAGGTTCTGCAAGATAGTAAAGTGGATAAATTCGGCAAGATGAGTCTTCATGGAAGCAAAAGTGAAGAACAATTACAAGGACTCGAGTGATGAGAGATTGGCAATGGAAGCAGCTATTATCCCACTCAAATTGCTTGAACTCAAGTTTCTAATCACAATAAAAGGCAAATCGGCTTAGAATTAGATTGAAAAGACAAAGAAATTGTAAAGACCAGTTCCTTAGAAGGACTCACAGGGAAATAATCCGAGGAAGCGAAATGCTGTAGTTGCATTCTAGTCCTTCCCAAGAGAAATTCCTAGGTCCACAAGGATCACCAGCCCAGATTTTTTTTATTTGATATGTAGTTTTGACGTTCTTTATGGCATCAGCTGCAGTCATTAACAAAACCAGATCAAACAGGACCGATAAAGCTAAGAATTGGTCAAATTTAAGAGAGAACGACCAGCGGTCACCAACATTGTTTCCAACTTAATCATCTGCACAGCTCGCTACTATATTTTGTATTTTATATTGTCAGGATTCCGAGGTGGGATTTTTATATTTTTCAGCAAGCATTTCTTTTCCAGAGGAAATAAGCATATATCAATACTTGTAAGAATGTTCTTGTTGATTTAACAAAGGAAGACATACCATCTTCACCATAAGTAGGTGATTCAACCAGCTGCATAACTTGGAAAACTTCAACAGCATTCAGAATCGGTGGAAGGGAAGAGTCCTCTGTCTTGTGTAAAGAAATTTCGTGATCCTTTCCCACCAGAACTCTTGAATTAGATATCACGTCTGCCTGTAAGTAACGGGGAGTGAATGGTCCAAACAATGGAGAACCATTCAATGATATATTGAATTTTCTTGACTGATTCTTCCCAAGTTTCTCCACTTCAGCAAAGTACATAAAAACATAAAACTGAGCATTCATGTCAGTTGTGTTCCAGTACAAATCTAAAGGTTCACTTGCATTCTGAGGTGTAGCTGCAGTCCGGATTACTTCCAATGGCACTCTATATCCGTTCTCATAGGTAGTAATCGACGAAGAAGTACTAACTGGATCCCAAGAAGGTGAAATGTGACGCGACCAAATGCGATCATAAACATCATCTCCATATCGACCTGTTCCATTGCCTTGTCCAATGTCCAGTCTTTCAATGAGTACTAATGATGCAGAAGTCCCAAATTCAGTACCATAAGTTGAGCTATTAAGCGGTCTAAATTCCAACGCCGAAATGAAAGGAGTTCCCAACCCTTTATTTATTAGACAAATGTCCACGGTATTTGATTCTGCAAAACCTAAAATCTCCTTGGTAACAATATCTGAAGCATTTTCAAACCTCACCGTCGACCAAAAGTTGACGCCGAGGTAGAGATCAAATTCCGGCAACTTGTTTTCTCCATCGTAGTTTCCATACAAGAAGGTAGCTCTAATCAAATTCAAACTGCCATTTCCTGCTTCGGGTTTCAACGTATAGCAATTTTTGTTTCCTTGAGGGAAACTCCTGAGGTCGGAGAGAGGGAAGGGGAGGTTGGGATTCTTTGGATAACTAAATTCAGAAGAGATGTTGTGGTTTATCCCTGTGTCTATGTAATCTCCATCCGGTGAGTATGTTATGTTCGTATCCGTGTCTTCGTAGAGCTTCGAGGGAGAACCACAATCTATGCTTATGAAGTCTACTCCAAAACAAATAAATGAAATAAGTCATAGAATTCAAGCAACAAATCGAAAGAAACAGATTCTTTTTCTACAAGTATATTTAGATCTAAACAAGAAGTTACAAGCAGATGCATAAAGAAAATGATCAGACAAGACAACGTATCATTTGGCGTCGAAGAAAAAACGCTAACCTATCCGGCGCTGCGCACGAACTGAACTTGCACAGAGCATCAAAAGGAGGAGGAGGAAGAACCCAGTTGACATTTTCATCTCTCTCTCTTTCTCTCTCTCTATTGGAGCCAAATAATCTGATACTGAAAATGTATGAAACTGTGGAATATTAAAACTAATGCTGCAAAACCTGCTGCAAAACCACCACTCTGATGGGGGCTAAAAGTCAAATTATCCTTTAAAATTTCCAACTAAACCCAATTCAACTAAGTGGAAATTTTGGGCTAAATACTAAATGTTAAACCAAGGCCAGATTCCTTTTCAAATTTAGCCCATAAATCAGAATTTAAATTTTTTTAGATTAAAATGTTCATAAAATTAATTTAGGATAGTTTACATATTTTTTTTTTAATTTAATTTAACAAAAAAATAGCCTAAGTTCATTCTTTAATAATTCCGGGCTAAAATTTTAGGTAAAAACGGTTGGAGCAGAAAAACTATTTCTAGACTAAAAGCTAAATTTTTCAGGCTAAAATATTTGACTTTTAACTCAACCATTGGGAATGTTAGAACTACAGCTTGGTTTTTTAGGTCAGCATTTTTCCTGGTCAATGCATTTCAGATATATTTGATTTCACATATGAAATACATAGCCTCGGCCAATCAATTAGTCAGACTAATATTTTTTTATTTTTAAAAAATTTTCAACCAACGAAGATTTAAACATTCTAAAAAATTGGCCAAAATGATAAAAATACAAATTTCGGTGGGTGAAAGGTCACTTTTCGATTTTTACTGATACCTGCGCAATATTTAATTAATAACGTCATCAATATTTGATTGATATGTTGTTGCTTATTTTTTTTAATCACTTTAGCAATTGAGATTTGTAAAATTCTCATTTCAGGCAAATTCCCTTCATTTTATAACTTTAACTGTGATTACGACATAACACAATTACGTTGACTAGAATAGATATGCTGCCACATGTGCTCCCGGGGTCGAGTTTTGGACCTGCAATATAGATTAATTTAGGATTGTGTTCTTTACATATTTATTTTTATTTTTCACACATATTTTTTAATTTTCAACCGTTAAATAGCATAAATTAAAGAAGATCAATAGTAAATATTAACAAAAACGTACGATAGTAAAAAATGATTTTGAATAGCACATTCTTAATTTAAACCAGTGTGCAACTGGCATAAATAGACAAACAAAAGAAAACACAAGATGTAGCAATTAGTGATTAATTTAATAGATAAATAGCACATGAAAGCCATAATCTTCATGCCGAGGCGACAAGCAGAAAGATAGTAAGAAACGCAACTACAAATCCAAAGTCTAAAAGGCAGAAAAGGTGGAACCTAAAAGGCTGCATCTTTATAATTTCCCACAGCTTTGCTTATAATATTCTAAACTCAAATTGTGTTTATGGTTAAGGTCAAATTAGTAGGTATGAGGGGAAAAAATATAGAAGAAAGAATGAAGATTATAATCATCCACTGTTTTGGACACCCTGGCATCCATGCCAAACAGTATAGGTGTTCTAAAATAAATCAAATCTCATCGAAATTGTTCACTTTCTTAATTAAGTTAAAAATAGTTAAGTTTCTTAATCATGATTGAAATGTTATAAATAGGCAAAATTTATAGAGAGATAACCTTTACTCGGTGAAGGAACGAAGCAGTTGCAGAGTAATATACCGACACAAGCTGTTGCAGAGGAAGTAATGTATATTATTGCTATTAGATATATTTCTCTTTTCTTTCTTCTTCTCATTCACTAATCTTTGCACAATTGAATTGCTCTATTTATAGAGCTACTTCAATGGAAAATTACAAAACATTACTATTTAGCTTATGAGTATATAGTACACATGTGATACTTTACTATGCACATTACTATACACATGTGGGCAAACATACCCATCATTTACAACACTCCCCCTTGGATGCCCACATATCAACATCAGTTGCCTCATTAAAACCTTGCTTGGAAAAACCCTGTGGGAAAAAACCATAGCGAAGGAAAAAGAGTACAACTTTACCCGGATGGTGTTGAGCATGCTTAGGTTGCCTCGTTAAAACCTTGATAGGAAAAACCCAGTGGGAAAAATCCTAAGCGAAGGAAAAAGAGTACAACATGCATGTATCATGGATGCTCCCCCTGAATTGTATCTCCCCCTGATTCCGCATTTTTTCAAATCTGTAAGCCGACGTAATCCGATTCCCTGTACCAACTTCTGAAATGTGCACTTTGGTAGAGATTTGGTGAACAAGTCTGCTAAATTTTCATTGGAACGGATTTGTCTGACTTCAAGAACTTTAGCCTTCTGAAGCTCATGTGCGCTGAAAAAAATCTTGGAGATATGTGTTTAGTCTTATCACCTTTGATAAATCCTTCCTTCATTTGGGCGACACAGGCTGCATTATCTTCATGGATGACAGTTGGAGTGTCTGTCTTTGAAGGTAGACCACATGAATTCCGGATGTGATGGATCATTGATCTTAACCAAGAACATTCACGACTTGCTTCATGTAAAGCAATTATTTCCGAATGATTGGAAGATGTTGCAACTAGCGTTTGCTTTGTTGATCGCCATGAAATTGCAGTATCTCCATTAGTGAACACATATCCATTTTTGTGAGCGGGCTTTATGCGGATCGGAGAGAAAAACCAGCATCTGCGTATCCAACAAGGATTTGTTCATTTGTGGGCTTGTCTGAGTAGAAGAGACCCATATCTGTTGTCCACGAAGGTATCGTAGAACATCTTTGACTCCCTTCCAATGACGAATTGTTGGAGCAGAGCTGTACCTGGCTAACAAGTTAACTGAAAAAGCTATATCTGGTCTAGTACATTGTGCTAAATACAATAAAGCACCTATTGCGCTCAAATATGGTACTTCTGGACCAAGGACCAGTTCATCATCTTCTTTTGGACGAAATGGATCTTTCTTAATGTCCAAAGAACGAACGACCATTGGGGTGCTAAGTGGATAAGCCTTGTCCATGCCAAATCGCTTCAGTATTTTTTCAATGTAAGCTGATTGATGGACCAAAATTCCACTAACACAATGCTCGATCTGCAGGCCTAGACAATATTTGGTTTTCCCAAGGTCTTTCATTTCAAATTCGTTTTTCAGATATTCAGCAGTTTTGTTGAGCTCTTCGGGGGTTCCAACTAGGTTCATATCATCGACATACACTGCCACTATAGCAAATCCAGTATTTGATTTCTTAATGAACACACAAGGGCAGATGACATTGTTGGCATATCCTTCTTTAATCAAATACTCACTGAGACGATTATACCACATTCGCCCAGATTGTTTCAGCCCATATAGTGATCGCCTTAATTTGATTGAGAACATACCCCGTGGTTTGTTAGTTGCTTCAGGCAACTTAAGTCCTTCTGGGACTTTCATATATATGTCAGTATCTAATTCTCCATATAGATACGCGGTGATGACATCCATAAGTCGCATGTCAAGTTTTTCTGAAATCACCAAACTTATTAAGTAACGAAACGTAATTGCATCCATTACAGGAGAGTATGTCTCTTCATAATCAACTCCAGGTCTTTGTGAAAAACCTTGTGCAACGAGTCGTGCTTTATATCTTGCAATCTCGTTTTTCTCGTTGCGTTTCCTTGTGAATACCCATTTATAACCTACGGGGTTCACACCAGGCAGGGTTTGGACTACTGGTCCAAAAACACTTCGTCTTTCCAAGGATTTTAATTCTGCCTGGATTGCATCTTTCCACTTAGGCCAATCTTGTCTCTGTTTGCATTCATCAACAGAGCGGGGCTCAATATCATCACTTAATATGATTTCAGTGGCTATTGCAAATGCAAACATGTCATCGATGATTATTTCATTTCGATCCCACAAATTCATTAGTACATGCATAATTTATGGATATTTCTTTGCTTTCATGTACTTCTGTCTCTTCAGGGACATGTGTCTCATCAAGGACATTTTCTTTTTCTGGAAGTACAGAGTCACGAATTGTGGATTTATCATTCAATTCCTTTTCTTGAATGATATCATTTGGGTTCAATTGGGCCCTCATCTTTCTCTTTCGAGGAGCTGAATCTTTTGAACCTGGGGGGTCTACCACGCTTCAGGCGTGCACTGGATGAATCATTCGCTGCCACTTTATTTTGTCCAACAGGGACATCAATTCTTGCAGGTGCGTTTGCAGCCGGTATATATGACTGTGTCACTTTCGAAGCATCATTAAATGCATCTGGCATTTGATTAGCAATACCTTGAAGATGAACGATTCTTTTCACTTCGTTTTCACATTGAGTGCTTCTTGGATCAAAATGAGATAAGGTGGGAACAACCCATGTTAGCTCTTGTCGTTCTTCTGGAACGGTCTTTTCTCCCCCTAACGACGGGAAAATTGTCTCATCAAAATGACAATCAGCAAAACGAGCTGTAAACACATCACCAGTCAAAGGTTCCAAATATCTAATGATAGATGGTGAATCAAAACCCACATAAATTCCCAATCTGCGCTGAGGTCCCATTTTAGTTCGTTGTGGTGGTGCAATAGGCACATAAGCAGCACAACCAAAAACTCGTAAATGTGAAATATTTGGCTGATGTCCAAACACGAGTTGTATTGATGAGTATTGGTGGTTGGCTATGGGTCTCAATCTAACCAATGATGCAGCATGTAATATGGCATGTCCCCATGTAGAAACTGGCAATTTCGTTTTCATGAGCAGAGTGCGGGCTATTAATTGAAGCCGCTTGATAAATGCCTCTGCTAAACCATTTTGAGTATGGACATGAGGAACAGGGTGTTCAACATTAATGCCCAGTGCCATACAGTAATCATCAAAGGTTTGAGACGTAAATTCACCAGCGTTATCAAGTCGAATGGACTTAATGGGATGATCTGGGAACTGTGCTCGCAACTTAATTATCTGAGCAAGAAGTCTCGCAAAAGCTACATTTCGAGTAGACAATAGGCAAACATGTGACCATCGGGTAGATGCATCAACCAAAACCATAAAATATCGAAATGGTCCACAAGGTGGTTGAATAGGTCCACAAATATCCCCTTGAATTCTTTGCAAAAATGATGGGGATTCATCATCAACCTTTAGTTGTGATGGTCTAATTACCAACTTCCCTTGGGAA